ACACACACACACACACATACACACACACACACACACACACACACACACACAGAGGCAGATAAACAGACAGAAGAAGCCAATCAAACAGAATTACAGTTCATTACATTTCCCTCATTAAAAAGAGATAACTCCTCTGTACGTTTCCGCTTCAACTGCCGCCCATCCTTTCTGACTTTCAGCTCATGTCTTGCAGAAAAAAGTCAGCTGGATGATTTTTGTTACATCTGTTCATCACTTTCAAGTTGATTTGAGCTCAATTCATCACCGGAAACAAAGCGGTATTCTGTGTGGTTTGTTTAGTTTTTCCTCAGAATGAAGGTCAGATGAATTATTGAGAGCGTGACATTTGTTTTGTGAGCGTTCTGGATGAATATTGCACAAGTCAGGCTGCTCATTATTGATAAATAACTTGGAAACTCCTTTCCCTTAAAGGCCAATGTTTAGCTGCTTTTGCGAGAAATCTCTCTTGATTTACTGTTCCTCATTCTGGCAGGGCGTGTGACGGTCATTAAAGCAGAATTACAGCAAACTGGAGGCAAATGTAAACTGTCCAGTCAAAGTTGGTTAACAGTTTGTCATGGAGGACACTTACGCCGGCGTAGAACATCTTGTTGCGGAAGCGACTGTTGAATTTCTCTGGGTTGGCCTCTGGACGAAAAACGGAGGAAAATTCAATCAACGTGTGCAGAAAACATGGAGAGTTCAGGGATTTAACATAACAATACAACAGAACCTTGATCAATTATTCACATCCCTTGAATATTAACACTTTGTGATGTTTTGGAAACAAACTACAGTGGGATTTAAACATGAAGAAGTGCGTTATCACGAAGTGTAAGTGGGGTTTTAAATGTTTTAGCACATCAATTTGACAAAAGTACATTGAAAATTAAAATCTGAAGGGGTGTGAATACTTTTGCGAAGGGAATTTGTGAAACAGACCTCTGGACTCGTGGAACTCCAGCGTGACGTGAGCGTCGAAGCCGAGGCTGAAGTAGTTGTTGAAAACATTCAGAGGGAGCTTAAAAGGAACAAAAAACATATTTAAATATCAATATGCAAACTTTTATAATTGGAAATTTGTGATAAAGTAAGAAAATAATTGGCCAGAGAGGTTCCGGTGCAACACATAATCAGTATTTACACATAAAATATGCAAAAATAAAAACATTTAGAAGAAAAAAAAAACATCTTTACAGATTCCTTGTTCTGAAAAACATGTTTAGGAATAAATCCAGGCCATTTTCTGGCTTGACCCTTGACCCCTGACCTTCTGAGTGCCTTCTTCTGGCTGTACCGCAGTTTTCTCCACCAGCAGGTTCCACCTGTCGAGCTGCACCACCGAACCGTCCTCAACGTGACACAAAACCTTCGACACGGGCTCGTCCGTGTAACCCTGCAGAGAAACAGAAACAACAGCAAGAAATCAGGTTTCTTCTCATCTGAATTCAAATTTAAATATGAAGTATGAATAAATGTCAGTTGTATCCCCAAGCAGAAAGAGCTACAAATGATTTAGCGTTCATTAAAGGCGTGCTACATTTAATTTAGGAAATAAAGTCTTTATTTTGTTTGCATCTTTTCTAATATCTTATAAGGTAAGCTGAAGTGCAAAATGTGCCAATTTTTTCTGATTTCCTCAAAGACACTCCGACTGCAGAGAGCTAAAAAGGAACAACCTCACTTTAACACAGACCTGCAGGAGCGATAAAGACGAGAGTATTAAACCAGACGTCTAAAAGAGGAAAGAAGAGAGGAGGAAATATGAAGAAAATGAAGCAAGGAGAGGATTAGGAAATGGGAAAAGATAAAAAAGAGACGAGGAGAAAGAACAGCAGTCAGTCGTGTGCAGAGGATGAAAAGGGCAGAGCTCTTCCACATATGGAAGCTAGAAATTGTCTCGGTCTAATCTTCTCTCGAAGCGTCAATCTCTCCGTGGATCAGAAGCATCTCAAAGTCATCTGGACATCCTCGCCGCGTCATTTCAGATCAAACAGCTTCGCTCTTACTGAGCTGAATCTTTAGAAATTAAACTCTGCTCATTAAAACTCATCTGTGCTGCTGAATAACACTTCCTAGTTGCTGACTAATATATCTACTTATGCAGAGAAATGGTCCATGTTTCGCCTCTCCTTTTGAGAAAGTATGAGAAACAAAGCACTGCTACGCTTCCAGTAGATTTATTAAAAAATTAAAAATAAAGGATGGAGTCTTTTAAGACTAACCAGTCCAACTGCAGAGACTGTCTCACCTGTACTGATATTCTGCATCAACCAAGAGGCTCAGAGTAACTTTGGAGGAGCTGCAGAGAGCCACAGCTCAGGTGTTGGAAGGAGATTTAGTGGAAGATTGACAAAAACTAAGTTTAACGAATGTTCTGGTCAGATTAAACCAAATTAAGCATTTTGAAGCGCCGTGTGTGGAGGAAAGCTATTACTGTACCCTGAACACATGGTGGTGGCAGCATCATGCTAAAGAAAGGATGTGTATACTTTCCCGTTGTAAAATTCAAGCATTTTCTAGACTTTTCCAGCATCTCAGTTTGGAGATAAAAACAAAACAAATTAACTAAAAAACATAGTTTAGCTTTGCTATTTTATGATATAATTTATCATTATTAATAATGTCTGTCTTTATGAAAATATCTGACTCAAACTGTAAATAGTTTCCAAATTTAGATTGAACCTTTTTATAAAATCGTGCTGTTAGAAAATCAAGAACTTTCCAAATCTAATTGAAACTCAAGTATTTTCAATGATTTGAACCACCTGTACAAACACTGTAAAATGGCTTAGTCAAAGTTCAGAAATCCAATTAGCGAACTGTGGGAAGAATACGTTTTGTTTTGTTTAACGTTCTTAAATTATTTTTGACTTATGGGGATTTCATTCAGAACATTTTGAAAGGAAACAGGTAAAATATCAACTGTAACTAAATCTTCTGAGCTCGATGTGTCAGCGGCTTTGAGGAGGTCAAACAGAGGTCAAGGCTTGAAATGCTCCGGAAGAGCGCTCAGACATCCTGGAATGTGGGTTCCCCAGGAACTCCCAGAGGCGTTGGAGACGCAAACACCTGATTTATTTTCAGAACGCGAGATAAAAACAGAAACGACTTCACTGCTGCTTGACAAACTTCACCTGCCGTGTTAAAAAAAATAAAAAAATCTCTGACGTAACTGGAGGATAAAATAAAATCCCGTCTGCAGTCTACTCTGCAACACAAGTCTGGAAACTCACCCCGCCCCAGTTGAGCGTCCTGGCGAGGTCATTTCCTGTTCCCAGAGGAAGTACAGCGACCGGAGGCTGGGGATTCATCTGCAGCTCATCGAGAGCGGAGAGGATCCACCCCACCTACGGACAGAGGTGGGCAGTAAATACCTACACTTAGTTACAGTCACTCAAGGAACTTTTTCTATAAAAAATTACTTTTAGTGTATTTTAATGCAAAAAATACACTAAAAGTCTAGTACTTTTTACAGTGGACACTCTACTCACTGTGAGTAATTTCACTAAATTAAGACAAAACAAAAAATGAATGAGATACAAACGCTTGGAATAACTTTACTTTGTTCTAACATACAGTATCTATTATTGACTGTAAGTATTACTTTATTATTTTATTTTATTTAATGTGTATAATTTTGTTGATGTCACTCATCAAAATGTAATGTTTGTTCAATTGTTGGTTGTATGGTATTTTATTTATAACTTTGTAATTTTGTGTTTTTGCTGTTAAGTAAATATTGTGATCTATTATTCTATCAATTATTCAGGCAATTAATTGACTAATTGGATAAAAGATGTAGATAAATTCTTCAGATTTTTTATTAAAACACTTCATTTTTATACAAGAATAGAAATGCATTAAAAGATGCAAATAGACCAGCAATTAATGTTAACGTTTTTACTTTTACTTGGGTAAAAATATGATAAAAACGATATTATTTCTGGATACTTTACCAACCTCTGTCTACGCAGAGGTAGAAATGCTCCAGGATCTTGGTAAACAATAAGAACTGGTTAAAAAAATGAACAGAGTCTTACTGTGCCGTCTCCACCGCAGGCCAGGATCCGCAGGTTTGGCACTTTGCGATACAATTCCAACCTGAGAATTGAAACAGCAGCTGGATGAGAGACGGCTGCAGAAATAAATGAATTCCTCTCCAGACTCAGGTAGGCCTGTCACGGTAACAAATTTTGCCGAGCAATTAATTAATTGTCTAAAAAATTATTGCGATAAACGATAATGTTGTTTCAAGACCTTTTGACACTGATTTAAAGGAAATGACTAATAATGCATGTGATTTCCTGCTATAGATAGATACACTTTATTTTCAAAAGAACACATAACACTGGAACTGATAAACTAAATTAACAAAACAACCAAAACAAAAATAAAATGGATTCTCAGTCTCCATTAACAAAAAACGTACTTGAATAAAAACTAAACAAAAAGCCAAAGTGGAAATAAATACTGCATTCAACCAAAAGAGTGCAGATTATGAAGTCTAAACTATATTGGCCTTCAGTAATCGCTAGATTTAAATAGAGCAGATGGACACATCCGACGTGATGCAGTAGTTCACACTACACGATTTTTTTGCCCCTATTTTCCCCTTATGACAATCTTAGATCGTTGGCCGCTCGTGATTTCGTAACCGATCATCCTGCAGTGTGTGGTGGGTTATGGTGGATCGTCGTTCTGCTCGATCTAAATCAGGGATTTCCCCCGACTGGAAGCATCAATGCAGCCAGTTGAATGTCACAGGTAGCCAATCAGAAAGCGCAGATTCTCCTCCTGCTTTCTGAGGTGAAATAACGAAGGGGAATCCCAAACAGCTGACACAGCGCAACTCAAAATCCAGTGGACATTGGAGATGATATGTGGAAACAACATTAATATTTATTCAACATTTCGTACAAAGAATATAGAAACGACAAGGGGAGGAACTGGAGCCAAATTGCTACCGCAGTTGATAAACCCGGTAGGTTTTCAGCTGTTCTTCGTTAACGTGACATAAATAGGTTATGATGATTTTCATTCAGTCAGGACTTTACGCTGACTCTAGCCACATGCATCACAGGTAGATTCTAGTAAAGCATTGATTAACCTGGTTTTAAAATGAATTAACTGGACTTGTAGCCCTTATTTTGTGGCTGGACACCACACGGCATGACGAACCCGATCAAACCGTTATACCTAGGATTTCTGTCAGGTTTTGAAAATGGGCCGACAGTCCGCCAACATCTCGTGTAGTGTGCGCTGGACATTACACTAAGGAAGAGCACCAGAGTTGAGCCTTTTTTCATTCAGTGTCATCAACAGAAAGAAAAAAAGAGGAAGAGATAATAAAACCGATAATTAAAATGAGGTCGATAGGTTTAATTTATTGTGCAATTAATTGATTTATTGTTTATCGCGACAGGCCTAGACTGAAAAACCTAAAATCCTGTCCAGCTGGTGTTTAAAACATACCACAGACTTCCAGGCATCTAATAAAAAAATCTGAATTAAAGCCACTGTTTCAGTGTAGGAGATTCAGATCTTTTTTCTAGAGATTAGAAACGATTACTCACGCTTCTCTTAGTCCACCTTGTGACAAGTCGAACACTTGTCTGGGGTTTAAGATCCACATGAACATGTGCAGCAGCTTGGCACCCTGCAGGTGCAGACGTATGAAACGATGAGGGCTAACAGCAGCGTGAGAGGATGAAAGGGGTAAAAAGATTCACCCACCTGGTTGCCTCCGCTCTTGGGATTGACAAAAACCAAGACGGGTTTCATGAGGGGAGAAGGAAGCGGTTTCAAAATGAACGGACGCCATTTAGAGTCCTGCAGACGGAGAGAAAAGTTTAAAAATAAAAGAAGTCCAGGCAGAGAGAATTCATTACATCTGGATTAAGAAAAAAAAACTTTAAAAGTTTCTATGGTTTCTTTTTCACCCTAATCAATAACTACATTTGTAAGACTATAACTTTTAAACATTTACATAAATACACGAGTGCTGCAACTAACGATTATTTTAGTTGTTGATTAATGTAGTCGTATTTTAAAAGTATGGTACTTTCTGCAGATTTTTTTTCAAGTAATATTAGAAATACATTGAAAGGTGCAAATAAACAATTATATTCCTTTATAAATTAAGAAAATAAAAATTTTATTGTCTATAATGCAATAACACAACCTTGCTGTAGTGAACATTTGATCATTTGTAGCAAAAATTCATCTGCAGATAAAAAAAATTGTCTAACATGAACACTTGAAAAAGTAAGACATTTTTCAATTAGCTAATTAATAACTGGGTAGCAAAACGTGCATAAAAAAAGATTTTATTTACATAATTTGAACCGAGTGAAGCTAAAACTGACCTAAAGAGTTCGAGTTAAAATGTATCTACAGACAGATAAGTTTGTTTTTATCTTAAATGTGAAACATAAATAAAATTTTGTTCAGTTTTTGATTACTTACCGTTACTGAGTGTGTTATTCTTCCAGTAAAAAAATGTTTTTTATTCTGTACACTCCAGGTAACGATTAATCAATTCCAAAATTAGTTTATTATTTTAATAATCAATTAATCACAATTAATCTGATTAATCACAATTAATCTGATTAATCACGAATAACACGATTAATCATTTCAGCCCTAAAATATGCAATGAAAGAGGAGAAAAAGTTAACTTTAAATAATTTAAAAACGTAAAACGAACATGTTTAAACCTGATGAAATTATATTTTAACATTAAATCTAAAACTAAATGGAGAAGATATGTGTGAGAATAAAGAAACTGATTTAAAAAGACATTAAATCTTTTTCCAAACTGAAATAAGATTTCAAACACTTGTTTCTGTGTCAACACACGCACTTTAAAACCATAAACACATTTTCTTTGCTTGTTTGCTAAAAGCCACTGGATCAATAGGAGCATTTTCTCACTCACTTCCAGTCCTTTCTTGCTCGCCCTACGTTTGAAAGACGTCCGTTTTTTCCTCCTGGCCGAGTTCTTCAGCGAGCTCTGGGACACGGAGAGTTCAGATGTTAGTTCGCTGTCACCGCATCCACGCTGACGCTGATTAGAAGAGCGATGAAGCATGCGACGTGTCTGCGGGAGACATTTTTCTGCGCTGGTGCGTGTGTGAGGGAGACTCAAACAGGGGCCTAAACTCAGGCTTCCCTCAGAGATCAGACGTACGTCGGATCACATCGCATCACACCCAGCAGCCTCCGACAGGCCGCTTTTCAAATTTAGCCCCAACGAGGTCGCTTTGCATCATCGTCACCGGATGACAGCGGGTGAACTTGATCAACTGCAGGGAAGGAGGGCCTCTTTCTCACCTGTGGTTTCCTGACTTTGATGATCCAGGAGGGAGGGACGATGACTCCGGCGTGGGCCCCCAGCGAACACGGCTCCTCGATCTGGTGCAGCATGAAGCACGTCACCTTGTTGTGGAACTGGAAGACAAACGGACGTTAGCTTTTATTCATCTCCAAGAAAAAAAAAACACATTTCATTTCAGTATTAGTCGAGTAGATCATCGTAATTGAATCTTAACACTTGCATGCATCACCTGCCTCAAGTCTGGAACAAATTGACATTAGCAAAGAACGACTTATTAAATTATTAGGGGTTGCTAGGCAACAGCACAGTGCCTGTCCATAGTGACTTAATAATCAGGAGGTTTTTCAAACGACTTGTCCAGGCACCAAAAAACATCAACTTATTGCCAAAAGGTGACCTGCTTCCTTGAACAGATTATATTTTTTGCACAAAATTATTCTTAGATTTGTTGTATTAGGGGGTTTTATCACTTTAAATCCAAAAAAACTGCTACTTTTGGGGTTTTTTTCACTCAACGTTTACACCTGTATGTGAAAGCAGCTGCAAACAGATGCCCAATTATACAAACATGCATCTTTGAAAAGCAGACATGGAGCCTCCTGCACAACAAACGAGAATGTAGCAAGTGGTTTCTGGATGGTAAGTCGACAACAAAGCACTTGTCTTTTGTACAGTAAAACCAGCTGGCCAATCGTTCTGGAGCTCAGTGTGGGTTGCTAGGTAACGGGCTGGGCTTTGCTAGGGTTGCTAGGTTACGGGCTGAGCTTTGCTAGGGTTGCTAGGTAACTTGCTGGGCTTTGAAGTAGGAATGTTCTTTAGGAACCGTAAATTTCACAACAGTGAGACCTATTGTTTCTCATCTACTTCATTTTTATTTAGTTTTGTTGAAGATGAATGATGAGTTTCCTTACCGCCTGTTTACACCAAGAACAACTGATGGCGATTATTTCTTTACTGTGGAAGAACTTCTGCTGAAAACTCTGAAAAAACAAACATTCACAGTGAGTTTTTGGTTCTTTATAAGGACCGCAGGAACAGTTCTGTGCGTTAGTGAGCCCACCTTCCCACACTGTTTACATTTCCCCTCCTGCCGCCGCCTGTGGACCCAGTGGTGTCTCAGTACGTTCTGTTGGCAGATATCGGCGCTCAGAGCTGCGATTCCTCATTTTTACAGCCACACACACACACATGTTGACATGAAGAAACACTCACGTCTCTGAGGCATCGGGACCCTCCCTCCTTGAAGGTCGGCTTGCATCTGAAGTTAATCTTAACAGAGACACAGACCACAGTCGTGAGTCTGAAAGCATTCATCTGCAGCTCGACAGAATTTGAAGGGAACAAGATTGGATTGAATTTAATTCAAAGGAAATAAACGTCGGCCTTGAAGGATGAGCAGCTGAAGCGTGTTGGTGTTTGAGAGCCGCACCTTTTCTAGCTGCTCTATGCAGCCGGTGTGGACTACTATCTTGCAGGCGGCGCATTTCCTCCTGGGGGCCGACTTCTTAAAGGAAACACAGGGAGCACAGAGCAGAGTGAGACACAAAGCTGCTGAAAATACGAGCAGCGAGGAAAAAACGAGTCATTTATCACCTGGTAAAACACAAACACTTCAGATGTAAGAGGGCAAGTCGCCTTCATGAACTGGTACTGCACGGCTACATTAAAAGCATTTTTACTCTAGTTTCCAATGTAAATATCTCACTGCACTTGAAATAAGACAAAACTAACTTTCAAGAAACTTTTCAGCAAAAAATAAAAGTCATTAATTTCTTACTATTAATAAAAAACACACTAAGTTATTGGTGAAATAAACCACCGGAGGAATTAGACACTTTTAACTCATAATAAGGGAAAAATATCTTGCTTTACTGGCAGATTATTTCACTTATTAGTACAGTTTGATCAGGAATTATAGATTTAAAATAATGTTGGAAACATTTTGTCTTATTTCAAGAAACTAGACTAAAAATACTTAAGACTTTGTCTGCTAAATATTAAACTTTTAATAATCATACTTGTTTCTCTCTTTTTAATTGCATAATAAACAGAACAGTTTATTTTATGGTTTATTGTTACACAGGAACAAAACACGTCTGAGTTTTAATTTAGAAAACTTTGTGGTCAATGATGCCAAAAGTTTGGACACCACTGCTTTAGCTGCTTTTCTAAACAACTACAAACATACCTGAGGACATTTTCCCACCATAACCTGTTAAAATTGCTGCACATTTAAAAGAAGGATAGTTTCAGTTTTCATCTGATTTAACTAATTTAACCCACAAAGACAAATCCACCTGGACGTCAGAGAAATCTCACAGCGAGCCGCAGCGTTTCCTTCTAAACATACTGTAATTACCGAGCTGTTGTGAACGCTCACATGTGTCATTATTTTATTGTGAAAAGTGAAGGTTGTTTCTCTGCTCTTTATGCTAATAGCTGCTATTCTCTGCTGGAGGACAGAGTTCACAAGGCCTACAATTTAAACGTGTTGTTGAACCTCTCAGCAGGAATGTTTCACCACTGTCACTGATGTGAGTGAAAATTAAACCATTAAACAGTCAGAAGTATTTGTAGTACTTTATTTTAAGAGCTGTGCATAAGGCTGACGTAACACCTGCCACAAACACGAAGGAGTCTTCAAAATGTTTAAGACTGTTGTAATGAAGGTAAATAGTGACGCTTATGCACAGCCCTTCAGATAAAGTGTTAACTTTAATTCAAACAAAATACATTTCTTTCTCCGTCTTTGTTCGGATCATAAAAATATTTAAATCAAATCTCAGACGTTCTGTTCTGCTGCAAAAAGTAAAACTGCAATAAGGATAAAACAGTTGTTTAAGCTCAGAGCAGATTTAATATTCATGAATTCCCAGCATTAGTATTCAGTTCAGACGGTTTCAAAGTTGAAATTATTTATAATTCAGTGAGCGTGGAATGTTTTTTTTTGTTTTTGTTTTTTTTTAAGAAAAAGAGGCGGCTAACGGACCAGACAGCAGCAGAAATATGATCCTAGGAGAAGCACCTGCTTCTTTGTTCCCGTTTCCCTCCTGCAGAGACGTGATCAGTCTCTACTCACCGCAGTCTTCAGGAGACACGCGTCCTCCCCGAGGTAGCACAGCTCTCCCGAACAACTCGTCTCCGTCCATAAGTGATCTCCGTTCCCTGCGTTTTCCTGCAGGAGGAGAAGAGAGAGGGCTGAATTATCACTTAATAAGGCGCCGCGCTCCGTCTGCACGTCTCCATCTTTAAGTGATTGTTGTTCGGTCGTATATAAAACTGCTCAGAAACACTCGGAGGAGATTACGGCCAGTAAGTGTGTCGAGTGCATAAACGCTGCTGCTGCTGCTGAGTAGGTGGGTAATCCACGGCGTCTGGAAATCTGAGGTGTTAATGAAAACACTCAGGAAGTAGCGGCTAACGTCCAGCACTCAGAGAGCAGCTCTGTATGAACATATGATGGCGGGAATTTAACAGAAAAAATCCCAGAGGAGTTAAAAAGTAGACGTCCAAGGAGCAGCAAAAGCAAATGAGGTGGATTAGCAGAGCATGGCAACAACTGGACATTTTACTGTGAAATATTGTCTCTGTTGTCTGCATACTGAGCTGTTAGCATGTCCTGACAGTCATGACTCTGTCAAACAACAAGTCTTCAGTCAGAAGCTTCTGCTATTCTGACTGCTACTGGAGAGCCTTCCTGCCCACAGATGATACGAGTAACAAAAACATTTATTGTCCCTTTAAAGTATTTTTAATTGAATTTGAACTGAAAAGTCCTTGTTGGTTGAAGAGAGGGTTGCAACTAATCGATTAATCGATTAAAAACATATACACATTCTGCTTATTTTTTAAGACGTTTTTACACAATTATAGAAAAAAACTAATTAAAAGATGCAAATAAACGACTCAGTTTCTTTTATTAAAGAAGAAAATAAACATTTTATTGTCTAAAATGCAATAGCAGCATTCATTTAGTGAAAGCATCTGTGTCGGGCTGATCTGTTGAACATTTTTTGGATTTGCTGATTAATAATTGGAGAGCAACGTTGCTAAATGGGAGACATTTATTTATTTTATTTTTTTAAACATAATTTTAACCAGGTGAAGCTAAAACTGCCATTTGAGGAATTTTGGGTAAAACATATTTACAAAGTTTTTTTTTTTTGTTTTTTTTTAAATCCTAACAGCAAAATGTATTATTTTTTTATTTTTTTTTTACAGTTTTGACAAATGGTCTTTTTTACGACAGTTAATGATTAATCGATTAATAAATCAATTCATTATAATTATTCTAATCTATCGTTTATGTTCTTTGAAAAATGAATTAAATTAGTTGTCTGCATATTTGAATGAATTTCTAATATTATATAAAAAAAGAGGTTAGAATGAAAAATTACCTAAATATGCCAATTTGTTTAACCCAATAAATTGATTAACCATTGGAAGAAAAAAAAATTGAGGACAAAAAATAAATAATTAAAAAAAAATCAACTCTTTTATGGAATAGATGTAAAATATCTCTGACTACAGCTGCTTCCAAGAAAATAAAATTTGACCAATTCTTCACCGCTGTAAGTCGTGTCCCATAAAGCTGCTCAATCAGTTTCAGTGATTATATTAAAAGGTAATTATATGTATGTATTGTTATGTAACTGTGTGTGTGTGTGTGTGTGTGTGTGTGTGTGTGTGTGTGTGTGAGTGTGTGTGCATCATGCAGGGATTTAAAGGTCAGTGAGGATGTGCTGAAGCGTCTCTGCAGGACGCTCCATGTGAGCCCATAACAGTTTACACATTCTCATCAATAATAAAGCACTTTGTATTTACAGTTCATTAATGATATGCAACGCCTTGAGAGCTGAATTACTCACTGCAGAACATATTTTAAAATGGAATTCCACCTTCAATTCTTATATTACTTGGGGGAAATTTGTTTCCTGAAGTCACCAAAGAGAGAAATTCCTTTATTTTTAATAGTTCAGTCAGGAAGGGACAAATACGAGTAAAACTCTAGGAATCCGTCATGGAGTTTGTGGCGTTTTCATCCTCCAGCATCACTGGAGCATTTTAGATATTCATGCTTTATTTTGTCCAAATTTCTGAAACTTTTAATCAACAATCAGTCACTTTGTTTCACTAAGGAGGAAGTAAAACACTGTAAAACATTTGAGCCTCATTTAGTTGTGTCTACTATCTTCTACTCTCTAAGTCAAATAAATTTAGCCAGTTTTAGATTTTGAACACAAATGTGTGAGTTCGTGAAAGATAAACTTACAGTAAAAAGTTTATCTATTAATTTTGTCAGACCTCCAAGAGTCTAGAGCTTTAAAAGAAGTGAAAGAAGAGAAAGGCAGGAGTGGGAACTATTTCCCAGAATGCTTAGTGGCATGTTGTTTCATTGATATCAATTATAGAAAATATGATTTCAGACCAGATTTAACAGCTTTAAATTGTAATATGACAAAACCTTGTGATTACTGCCATCACACCTCCTCCTGCAGATCCACACGCTTCAGGTTTTAGAGCGTCGTCTTTGCAGGAAGTGAAAGGTAAGGGGATTTACCTGGAACTAAAAATACCAGCTCAAACTTTTTGTTGACTTTTGGAAGGTTTAATGTGTTGTTTCGAGTACTTTCCGTTGCCTCTTGACATTTTTTCGTTTTAAAGCAGCTTTGCAGCGTCGTGATTCATGTTTTGTAAATAAAATCCATTAAACTCTGGAAAAAGAAACAGATGCTGGAAAAGTCATATGTTGAGAAACGGTGACAGGTAAAACTTTCTCTCCCACGCTGCTTACACATCGTCCTACATTATTAATAAAGAAGAGGAGAGAAACCGCTGGGGTTTTTTTTTTTGTCTCCACAGAAACATAATGCTGATAAAATGAGATTGTAAATGTCAGGCAGTGACTCAGAGGAGAAACTTAAACCTAGACAAGCTTTTTGCACAATTAACAGAATAAATGCATGTCACTAAGCAGATTTGTGATGCTGAGCGTCTGACCGTCCAGTCCACGCAGGTTCGCAGATCCTTGTTTGGTCCGTTGGACGCCGGAGGGAGCGAAGGCTGAGGCGGGCCGAGGTAATGGAGGCCTGATCTGGAGATGGCTTTCCTGCATTCAAGAAGGAAAAAAAAAAAAAAAACACAAGAAAACACTTTAAAATATCATCATTTTTATAATAATAATAATAAAGAGAAAAGCTGCAGTGGTGACAATGCAGAAGTGAACAGTCACGCTCGCATAATGACACAGAGTGGATGAATAACTGTGAGAACTCGGTTTCAGCGTGATTAAGTCCGTAAATTATTTATTCATAATTTTCCGGCTCAGCTGCAGATATTTGTTTGAGGCGGACTGGGAACAGCTTGGTGGAGCCACTGCCAGCAGCACTTCATGGCGACGAGAAAGAGAGTCGAAGACGGATGACTCAGCACGCGCCTCTTCCTCTTTTTACCCGCTCAGGTTTAGTTCATCTTTACACGTCCGTCTCTCCAGCAGTGATAACATCTATGATAAACTCTACTTATGCATGATGCTGCTATTTCTGTCCCAATATTGGAAAAATATATTTTTCTATAAACTAACAACTGGAAAAGACACTTAGCAACAAATTTTGCCCATTTTTATTTATTTTTTTTACTTTATGCAACAATATGATAACGATATGTCACAATAAATGGACGATAAATTGTCCCAAGTTATTGCGATAAATAATAATATTGTTGCTTTGAGACTAATTTCAATTTATATTATGATAAAGGCATAAGAGATTATCAAAGATCAATAAACTTAAAACTCAAATGAACATAAAAAACCCACAAAATAAATAAACAAAACAATTGAAATAATGCATTTTGAAGTTTCTATAAACATTATTAAGGGCCAGCTGAGACCAAATACAGAAAAGAGAAAATCGATAAGTCATATAAATGGAAATTATTGCGCTTGCTTTAATTTATTATGCAATTAATTGATTTATTGATTATTGCGACAGGCCTAGATAACAGAAGTGACAACAGTATGGCTGTGATTGTGTGCAACATAAATTATAGCCCCACTGATACAAATACTGCTCTTGAAAAACATTCCCATTTGTAATACACTGCCTCAGGACACATAAAGAAGTGGGATTTGTATCACTAAACTGCGCATGGTAACTGTATTTTCAAATTAATTGGTATTTATTGATACTTTCATTGCACAACCAGTGTAGAAAATAGTAAAACTATCAACTATCCCAACAATAAGGGCAGTTTTGTGTTTTTTAAACATCATTAGTTGGAATTTATTGTAACAACAACAAATCAAAATTCTTATAAAAATAAATTTATCAAGATAAATCATAAACGATGCAATAAATTCCAACAACTACTTAAAGGATTTTATGGTCAAGACAGTTTTCAAGTTTAATAATGGCTTACATATTAGTTTAATATGTACATATTAGTAATGGCTAATATGCATTACTAGAATTTGCATTTGTTAAGCTAAAATTCAAAATGTATAGATTTACGATAATATGTAAGATATAATACATACGTCAGATTTAAGGAGACATTTTTAAATCACTTACTAAGGTCTAAAAACATTGCGTACACATTTTATATCTACTATAACTACTTCTTATTTCACAAAGGAATTAATAACTTATTTTTAACTGTTATTTGAGCTTAACTGAACTAAATGTAATTTATATAGAAATTAATTGAATATGAACCGAATTATTTGCATGTGCAACAAAGTTGAAGTGTTTCCACATTCATTTCTGGCAGCGCAAACCTTCACAGATCCGAAGGTTTCCTGAAACTAAAGACGACTCTCTGGACTCCAGCTGGAAAACAAACGAGTGGAAAAGGTTGTCCGACACATCTGACCCGACTGCTGAAAGTTTTAGTGGCCGTCTCTCCAAAATGATCACACAGGACAAAGAGGAGTCTACTTACACACCGTGCAACCTGATCACACCTAAGCACACACACACACACACACATACTCACGACCCTGGAGCTAAAAATAGCTTTGCGTGGGCAACAAAAGAACAAATGCAAGGACGTATGGTGACTGGACACACGCCACAGAAACCTGTGGGCTACACTCACAGAGACACACCCCAACCCTAATAACACAAATTCAGTCCAGGGAATCTAAAAAATAAAAATCATAAATGATTAAAAATCAGGCAGCGTGTTTAAGAGCAGGCTTCTTCTGGAACTGCACAATATTAACAGGTTGGTTGATTAAGTATTTATGAAAATAACTTCCTCTAATCTAGGACAAACTTATAGAAATCTGCAAAACAGCCGAGTTCCTCTAAATAAGGATAAAACCCCACCCGCCTTTGAATAGCAGTAACTGGAACATTAATCAATATATTATGTCAATTTTATATATTTTTTAATTTTTTTTACAATACTTAAGGCAAACCCAATCCCCTTTCACAAGAAAAATAAAATAAAAATAAATAAAATAAGTTTTCTTGATGAAATTTGACAAAAAGTAATGTTTAGTGCTTTTTTGAAAATAGATAAAACACTTATTCTGTTAAATAAAGAAAACTTGACTATCCCAGCTTTTTTTTTCCATTAACAAATTTTAAAAATACTAAAGTTAATTACAAATGGATGGATGAGTATTTGGATATTAAATAAAAAATATGCTTCCATACTTCTGGATCCATAATTTTCCAAGGAACTCTAACTTCCTCCTGAATAAGGCTTCACTACTTTTTCTGCTTTTAAAATGTGGAGAACAACATGAAGAATGATTTATTGTCCACATAAATCCTTAAAAACATCTGAAAGCTTAAAACATAAAGGATTTATTTACTCCTGCAGATCCAAGAGGCGAGGCCGGCTCTAAACTGATGAAACACATTTCATCAACATGTAGTTAAAAAGTGAAAAGGAAAACTTGAAAAGTACAGACAAAGTTGCAAATTTATGGTTTTCAGAATCAGAGATGATCAATCAGAACTGAGAAAAGCAGATTTTCCTAAAAAAACAACAAAAAAAAAACAAAAAAACTGAGCTGCAAAGTTACATTTTACCCACAGAAAACATGGAAACGGTTTGCTCCAAGCACAATCCTGTCACTACGAACAAAGACGTGGCATTTTGTCCAAACTTGAATCACAAACATCGGAGTAATCGGTGTGAGATGAGGTGAACGCCTTCATCTTAATGCATTCCTCTCTTGTTTGAGCCTGTCTGTGGATCAGAACTGGAATAGGAACAACATGCAGGCCCGAATACGAGGCTTGGATCCTGGAGATGTTCCCACAGGAGGCAGTACGAGATTTACCGTAGACGAAGTCATTTAGTTTAGTTTCAAACTAACTTATAAGTAGCTTTTCAGCGAGAGATAGGAGCTTGTTTTAAATTAATAATTCTTTTAAAACTTCAGAAAAGGCACTTGTTCCATTTGCAGATTATTTTCATCTTTTGCAAAACACTTTTGTCATATTATAAGAGAAATAATCTGCCAGTGGAACGACAATTTTTCACCCATATTAAGGAATTATTGACTTAAAACGTGTCAAACCCAAGGCCTGTGGGCCAAATCCGGCCCACCATAGCTTTTTATGTGGCCTCTAGATTCTAGACTAAACACTAACTGTACTTAAAAATTGTGTTATCAGTCAAATCGATGCAGTTTTTATCTGTTCACTGCCAAATTATATCAATCAGTCCCTCCAGTTTCTTAAAAATTATTGTGGAAATTCACACAAAATCAATAAATCCCCGCACTTTTTTGCACCAACACATAATTGAGAGTTTATTGCAGATTTTTCTCAAAAATTGTCAAAATCTTTACTTGTACTAAACAGCTGCCTCAGCCTTAATTGACGTCAGATTACAGTCCATGATCTATACAGAGTAATAAAAGTTGCATTTACCGTCATAAATATCTCAAATATTTCCAAATTAGTACAAGAAACACTTTGATTTTTATTTTTTTAAAAATCACAAAAAGAATCATGAAATCCTGGAAGGACTGAAAAGATGTTCAATAATATTGATTGATAGAAGAATTGATTGATATTTTAACAGTTTGTGAATAAGTTTTATCAATATATTCTGGCACAACCGGCCCTTTAAGAGCATTCAGGATCTTGATTTGGCCCAAAAAGAAAATGAGTTTAACACTCCTGACCTAAAACAAGCTCATATATTTTGCTGAAAAGTTACTTCTAAGTCAGTTTTGTCTTGTTTTAAGTGTAGTAAGATATCTGCACTAAAAAGTAGACCAGAAACACTTGGTAATATTTTGAGCCGCTGCTCGGCGGCGCTGGGCCACTAATGAGCATGATGTGGGCTGTTTGAATAAGACAGATGAAGCAGCAGGAATTTAAACCCTAAAGTAAAGAGATTAAACTGGGCCCAGCATGGTGGGGTTGATACAGCTGCTCCCGTAGTTCCCAGCTTCACAATTTAAATATGTTTGCTCTTCTTCCTCTCCATTTTAAAGAAATAATCACTGCCGTCCTCCATTTTCCCTGCTGCATGTCTTCTCGCCACAACCACACATCACACTGACTTCTCCCTGATCTTCTCCACATCACTGAATCTCCCACCCTTGCTCCTCCTAATCTTCCTCCCTCGCGCTCCTTTTCATCCCCTGCTCTTCTTACTCATCCGCCCCCTTGTCTCCTTTCCTTATTTTCAGCCTTCCCCTCCTACTCCTCCTGCAGAGGTGGGTTGTCAGCGTTGCCATCACGACCACACAGTGGGAGCATCAGCAGCTTGTCCACTAATTATCCTGCCAGAGAATCTGCTTTAGTGTACATGTCTCGTGTGTTTCAGCGACTTTACACTGAAAGCAGTTACACTTATCTCACTCTGTGGGACGATTGCGTGAACGTGGGAAAGAAAAGTCAGCGGGTTCATATCTTTATTTCACCTCCTACGCACGCAGAATAATATCTTCAGATATTGTCTAAATAGAGATCTTCAGAGGTCAACTGTTTGGGACGTTTCGGGTGATTGAAATATTATACTACAGTTTCTTTAACTTGTTTCTAAAACTCTCGCGCGCGGAGCGCAACAACTGTGTTTGTAGTCGGGGAGAACAAAAGTAATAGCTACAAAAATAAAAAGGCAGCTGCAAGTGGG